AGTTCCCTAGGAACGTAAGGTATACTAGGTATAAAAATTATCTTGGTTAAGCTCAACGATATCGGTAAGGAGTTCTTAGATGTCATGGCAATGGAGATAAAATGTCATGAAAGCATTAGATGCAACGTTTTATCGAACCAAGAGTAGCTTAGAGCTATTTGCAATTGGATTTCTTACCTTAAAATAATAAGTGTTAAGACAAGCCAAAGCATGCTTAATCACTTTTTGATTTTTGGGATTTTGGAATCGTTTTATTCTAGCCTAAAAGGGGACAAATTTTAATGCGTGGATAAAACGCAATAAGATTGAAAAGTTGCATGTACGCTTTAAAATTCAAACTTATTGGTTTTATGATGGTTTTTCATTTCAAATTCTTTCAATTGTAGAAACATGTCTGCAAATAACTCAAAAAACCAATTTTCATTACGCTTAATTATCGACAAGGAGAAGTTTAGTGGGCAAAATTTTCTTGATTGGCAAAGGAACTTGCGTATTGTTTTTATGCAAGAGCAAATGGAATACGTCCTTGATGAAGAAATGCCCGACGCTCCCAGTGAGGAGGTCACTCAGGCTGCCCTAAATTGATGGCAAACTGCCAATCGGGATGTCAAATGCATCATGTTGGCCACAATGTCTCCGGACCTCTAAAAGACTTTCTTTGAAAAGGAGACGGCTTTTGAGAACATTTCTGAACTTCGGAACATGTTCCAAGTGCAGGCCCGAACTGAATGGTTCGAAACTTACAAGAAAATCCTTGAGAGCAAGCTCAAGAAAGGAGAGCCAGATAGCCCACATGTACTTAAAATGATTGGATTATTTGAGAACATGGAAAGGATTGACCTTGGGTATTCAATCGAGATGGCAATTGACATCATTCTCTATTCGCTGCACAAAGGTTATGATCAGTTCAAGATGAACTATAACATGCACAGCATGGAGAAAACCCTCACCGAGCTTCATGGGATGTTGAAGCAGGCCGAGCAAACGCTGAAGGATGAGGAGAAGCATGATATGCTCATGGTCAAAAAGGGAAAACCATTTAAGCTCTTGGGAAAGAAGAGAAGCTCTAAAGGGAAAAAGATGAATAATTTTCCGCCTAAGTCAAGTGCTGCTAAGAGCGGCAAGAACAAGAAGGTAGCCTCTTCTAAATCCGATTCCGAATGTTTTTACTGCAAGAAGAAAGGACATTGGAAGCGGGATTGCCTCAAATTCAAGGAAGATAAGAAGAATGGCATCGTTACTTATGTATCAGGTATTTTAATTATAGACTTAAACTTCACTAGCAAAACATCATAGGTATTAGATACCGGATGTGGATCACACCTTTGTTCCAATGCTTAGGGACTAAGGATAAATAGGAGGCTAGAGAAGGGAGAGGTCGAGCTTTGGGTCGGCAATGGAGCTAGGATCTCTGTCGTGTCCGTCAGAACTCTCAGTTTATCTTTGTCCTCTGGGCTTGTTTTAGAACTTGACAATTGTTATCATGTTCTAAGAGTTACCAAAAACATTATTTCAATTTCGGCGTTAGACACTATGGGATTTGAATTTCGTATAAAATACAATAATTATTCGTTGTATTTCGATAATGTTTTATATGGTAAGAAATATTTAGAATATGGTATTTATGTGCTTTCTCTAGACAAAAAAGTTATAACATTGATGATACCGCCAAAAGAGCAAAGACCATGGAGTCGAATCAAACCTACTTGTGGCATTGTCGTCTTGGCCACATTAACATCAAAAGCATCAAGAAACTTCTTCACGAAGGTATTCTTGACTCATTCGACTTAGAGTCGTATGAAAATTGCAAAGGATGTCTATTAGGCAAGATGATAAAGCAACCATTCTCCGAGTTGGGAGAAAGGGCTAGTGACTTATTGGATCTTGTACATACGGACGTATGTGGACCAATGAGTGCACCCGCAAGGCAAGGTTTTCGATATTTCATCACCTTCACAGATGACTATAGTAGATATGGTTATGTCTACCTTATGTCGAACAAATCTGAATCTTTTGAAAAATTCAAAGACTTTAAGAGTGAAGTTGAAAATGAGCTTTGCAAGAAAATCAAAGCACTTCGATCAGATCGAGGTGGCGAGTATTTGAGCCACGAATTCGACGATCATCTGAAAGAACATGGTATTCTCTCAAAATTGACACCTCCCGAAACTTCACAATGGAACGAAGTGTCCGAAAGGAGGAATCGAACCTTGTTAGACATAGTCCGATCAATGATGGGTCTAAGTGAACTTCCTATCTCTTTCTGGGGGCACGCACTTCTAACCGCGGCACTAACTCTTAACCAAGCTCCGTCAAAAGCTGTCGAAAAGACTCCATATGAATTATATACGAAGAAACCTCCACTGTTGTCTTTTCTTAAGGTTTGGGGTTTCGAAGCATACGTCAAGAGATTAATTTCTAACAACTTCACCTAAAATCAGACAAGTGTTTCTTTGTGGGACACCCAAAAGAAACCAAAGGGTATTACTTGTACAACAAATCCGAGAACAAAGTGTTTGTTACTCATGATGATGTCTTTTTGGAGAAGGACACCTTTCCAAAATGACAAGTGGGAGGAAAATCGAACTCGACGAAGTTCGAGAGGAAGAGCAACAAAGTCAACCTGACAAAACTGACAATCAAAGTGCTTTAGAAGCAGCTATTGACATTGGTCAAAGTCAAACCGACAATGTGCATAGTCAAACCGATAATGCAAATGCTTAACCTATTACCCTGCGTAGGTCGCAATGGCCACGATCTCAACCAGACAGATACCTCAGTGTTGTTTTAACCAAAGATCGTGACGAGCCCCGACTCTGCAAAATGGCAAGAGGCCATGAAATTCGAGATGGATTCCGTGTTTAAAAATCAAGTCTGGGACTTGGTTGATTTGCCCGAAGGTTACACACCTATCATTTGCAAATGGATTTTCAAGTTGAAAACCAACAAAGATGGAAATGTATCTATATACAAAGCTAGATTGGTGGCAAATGTTACAGGCAAATTCACGACGTTTTTTTGGGGTAAAAATACCCCTGGACACGTGGCCCTATAAAGGCCTGCCACGTGTCAAGATTGCAACGGTCAGCAAAGAGCCAATCCCTTTGCGACATGTGTCCATTGTACCCTAATTGAGGTGCAGTTTTATCCTACTATAAATAGTAGGGGCATACCCTATTTATGGGGATCGAGAATCATTCCAACAACCAACCAAACACAAAACCCATTGCAAAACGCTCTCTAATCGAGAAGCATTTATTGTTCTTTATACCTCTTTAAGAAAGATTATAACTTGATCTTCGGAGGCGGAACTCCCACCCGCCATCAGGAGTCTGCGTTGTTTGTGTAGGTACAGGCGAAGGAAGGAGCATACTAGGAAATTGTAACTCTCCCGCAGGACATCTAAAAAACCCCCAAACATCTGGCGCCGTCTGTGGGGAGAGTACTTTCTAGATGACTTCAGAACTTGTACTACCGGGGAAAGATATCCAATTTGCTGTTGAGGCTGAGGTCCACTCGGACCAAGATACAACCGACGACTATGAGGTTGAGACTTACACAGCCGCTGATGGTTCTTTAAGGACCAAGCATACCCGTTCCAAAGACAAAAGGGAACGGGCAGAACATCAGGTAGGCCTTAGTCATCCCACCAGAGGTCCTCTTGGGTTAACCCCCGCTTCAGAAGGAGCCACTCCTGTCTCCATGGACGAATTCATGAATATGATTATGAGTTTCAAAGGAGAAATCAAAGGCCTCTTAGATAAATCAGCCAGCCCCCGTCAGGAGCAAGCGGAAGAGAGACGTCTAAGGAAAAAGACAGCCGAGATGGTAAAAGATAGAGCACCTACTCCGCACCCAAAGCCAAGAGTGACGGTTAGGTCCATTGATATCTCAAAAATTCGCATTCCCTTGGAGAAAACCAGAAAGCCCTTCCGACACCTACAGCCGGATGGAACAAAGAAGGTCTACTCTAATGCTCGGACGCTCATCCAGGATAAAAAGATCCAGCAACGTTCCGGTTCGGCATCGACGTCGACCTTTTAAGACAGTTTCCATATTACATCAGGGATGCACTCGCGAACAAGTAAAGAGAGTCGGTCGACCAAGGTTTCCGCTCGATCAGGCCCTCATATAATCCAACCGGCAGTGCATGGGTCACCATACATGCCCTTTGGATCTCCTTACTCACAGCCGACTCTATTCGGGGGTCAGCCGCCACCTGTCCAGCCCATGGACTGGCAGCTCCGGCTGCTCAACCTTGGGGAACAGCCAACGGCGTTCTCCAGGGAAATCACTGAGATGGCTCAGCCGTCAACCCAGAAGATCACCTTATGGCATACACCAAACTATTGTATTTCCAGGGTTTGGATGATGCCTCTAGGTGTAGGTGCTTCCCGGCAACGTTGAAAGGGATCGCTCAACGTTGGTTTGGTAACCTACCTGCCGGATGCATTAATAACTTTAGAACGTTGGCATACTGGTTCACGTACAACTTCTCAATGAACATCCCTGCTAAAAAGACAAGCCTTGATCTGGGGGCAATACAGCAGGGGGACAAGGAAGTGCTCAGGTCATATGTCAGGCGGTTCAACCTGACGAGAACCTAAATCTAGGGATTGTCTGATGACGTCGCTTATACCGACTTCTTCAAAGGTCTAAAGGATGGGTCAAATTTTAAGTTTGACTTGGTTAGAAAGAGGGTCTCTACCCTTCATGAGGCATTAATGAAGGTAGAGGCTTACATAAAGGCAATTGAACTTTGCGGTGTTAAACTTCCAACGGATTACAAAAGATCCGATAAAAGAGAAAGCCGGCCTACTCAGTCGGCCAAAAGGGAAGAAAAGAAACGAAAATAATTCTGGGCGGCAGACCCATCCGGACAACCGTTCCAGAAGAGAAAAAGGTCGAATCCGTATGTCCCAAGGTACGAATTCACCAAGGATTGCGCCTCCATTCTCAAGGAGGTTAAAGACCGGTTAAATCTTGAAAAACCGGCAGCAATGAAGAGTCCCGTGAGCAGCCGGGATAAAAGTAAATATTGCCATTTCCACGAAGAGATAGGCCATGACACTAAAGGTTGTTTTAGTCCCAGGCGGCTCTTTGACCACCTTGCTGATGAGGGGGCTCTAAAATCTTATTTACCCAAATCAAAGGGTACTCCCAAGAAGGTCAAGGGACAACCTCCAAAGACACCGGCAACTCATTCTGACACTGATGAGGATACCATCTTAACCATAGCCTGTGGATTTGCGGGTGGTGGTCCTACCATCCGGGGTACAGAGGATAACATAAGAAGGCTGATCAACTCAGTGGATGAGGGTCAGTCGTCTAAAAATTCATTCCCGGAGGTCAATATCTCCAAAAAGGATAGAGGAGAGGTCAGGAGGCCCCACGATGATCCCATAATCATCGAATGTAAAATTGCCAATCAACGAGTTGGCCGGATCTTAATTGATACAGGCAGATCATCTAGCTGACCTCCGAGAAACCTTCACCACCCTCAAGCGGCATAAGGTCATGCTTAACCAAAAAAAGTGCGTCTTTGGTGTTGAGTCTTGGAAGTTTCTCGGATTTTTTATTGACCAGAGACGTATAGAGGCTAATCTGGACAAGGTGCAGGCGGTGATTAACATGCAGTTGCCTCGTACCGTCAGAGAGGCTCAAAAGCTTACTGGTTGTCTAGCGGCATTGGGGAGATTCCTCAGCCGGTCAGGTAACAAGTGCTTTTACTTTTCAAGCAATCAAAAAGAGGTCCAGGTTTGAATGGGGAGAAGAGGCTGAGGTGGCATTCCAGAGGCTGAAGCAACACTTGCATTCGTTGCCAAGATTAGTGGGTCCTATTTCGGGTGATTTTAGTCCCTCGGGAGAGTTACAATACGGAGTATGCGCGCCTGACTTCTGTACCTGCAAAACCACAAAACTTCGGTTGGGTGGAGTTCCGCCTCCGACGATCAAGTTAGTATGATTTATGGATGGGTAAATGTGCGGAAGGTAAATTGGTTTTTCTCAGTGATTCAGAGAGATTCCGCAATTAATATTGCTCGGGTTTTGTGTATGAATTTTTGAATGCCCAATAAATGAGGGGGATTCCCCTATTTATAGTGGGGGAAACATGCTCCTTGATTAGGGTTTTGATGCCACATGGCAGCATCCAATTGGATCCCGTTGGGCATTGGTGGGCTGTCACGTGTCACGATTCTACTGGGCCACGTGGAATAGGGTATTTTTACCCTTAACATTTTCCCCTCACAGGTGTGACGTGGCATGTAGGGTTTTATAGTGACCCGACACTACGCGGAAGGAAACCCACCAAGACCCGCCCCTTAATTAAAGCAATTAACAAGCATAATAAACTTAATCAAACAAGATTAAGAACAAGAATTCTACCTTTGACGCGTGCTTTGCTCCCAAAGAGCTCTTACTTCAAAATCCCGAAAAGACGAGATCTTCGATGGATCGTACCCTCAACCCGACCCGAGCGTCCTAAGCCTTGAAGGTTAGTCAAGACTCGGACAAAATAACTATGAGTTTTACGAATCAAAGGGTTACTCTTTCTTAGAGTTGCCTTTTTAATTCCCCTCAAGGTTGTGTCAAATCCCAATACTAAGCGTGGTATTTATAGGGAAATGATCCCTTGATATTTCATCCTCCACCAATGTGGGAGAATGAATTTTGCTAATTAATTTAGTCCTAAAATAAATCAATAAACAAATGCAATCACAATTCGACAAGTGTCAAGGAGGGAGAGAGTGTTAGGTGAGGACCATGGAGAGGTGGGGGGGACCAATGCCTTGCTCCCCAAGGCTTTCCCAAAGCCTTGGTCCCCACTCTCCTCATAAACCGCCTCACCCTAGCATGCTGCCCAGCTGCCAGCTAGCGTGTCAGAAGCGTGCCAGCTGGCTGTGCCAGCTAGCCTAGCATGCTAGCACAAGCCCAGCAGCATCGCTAATGCTCGCTGGTGCGTGCTGGCGCTGGTGCTGGCTGGTGCGTGCTGGTGCTGGAGCTGGCGCGTGCTGGCGCTGCTGCCAGCATCCCTCGCTACTCGCATGGCCCAACATGCGTGCTGCTAGCGAGCCACGCATGCTGGCCTCTTGCCACGTACCGCACTCCCACACCATGCGCACCACGCATCTCTCTCTCACACACTGCCTAGCATGCGTGCTGCTAGCGAGCCACGCATGCTTTGCTTGACATTGCTTGCTAGCTTGCCAGCCCCTCGCACACACTCTTGCACTCCCTCACGCATCAGCTTCGGCACTGCGCACTATGCACGCACATGCCTTGCATCTAAGGGCACGCATGGTGCGTCTAGTGATGCTGCCTGGGTTGCGATGGCGCCCAGCCATCCTAGGCCACGCATGGTGCGCCTAGTGATGCGTATAGGCCCTACGATGGGCTGCTGGCTTGCGATGGTGCCTAGCATCATGCTAGGGCTACGATAGCGCCTAGGTATGATGCTAGGGTTGTGCTGGCGCGCCTGGTGCTAGCGACAGCCAGCCATGGTGCCTAGCCATCATGCTAAGGCTGCCATGGCGCGCCTAGAGACTATGATGAGCTAGCCAAGCCTAGCTATGGCTACGCTCATGCTTGTCGATTGTGATTTTGCGACGCTCGGTCTCAACGCCCTAGGCTCGACTTCTGACGTCTGTATTCGTAAAACTCTGTCGACTCATTAAATCCTTTTGGATTAATTCGATGTCTCGGATTGGAGATTCGATTGGGTTCGACCCAAAGGGTTCAGGTAAGATTAAGCTGTAATATCAATTGTACCTTGATATTACTGATCGGAAGCGGCCTCCACCTAGGCATTCCGATCACTTGACCTTACTGAAGAATTACCTTTGTAATAATTCTGAACCCTCTATCGGAATAATACACTTGTTGGAAGGACACCATTCCTTTCAATCTCCCACTTGTCCTTCCGGACAACTGTGCATATTGTGTATAGCTTATTTCCTTTGTCTCTTAATGTTTCTTCGTGAACTATAAGGTAAGATTCTTTGTCATCCTTATTACGTTCAGAAGTGTTTCTCGATCTCCGAGTTCGATTGTCAAATAAGCAGATGATTTCTAAAATCCATCTGAGCATGGCCATGCATTTTACAGTCTCACTCTTCGAGCGGCCTTTTAAACAACAAAACATTTTCCCTATTTTTAGTAGGGGGACAATCCCAGTCTTTTATTGTAAGTTCTTCTTACTAAGAGGACATAAACTCCCGAGTGTTCCCGTTATGATCCCCAGTTACGGCAGACGTTAGGAAACATCAAAGAGCCTAGTACTCAAACAAGAAAACTTCACAGTACTCATGATCTGAGGAAATAAGTTCCGATAGCCATAATGAGAAATGTACTTATGACAAAATTTAATTTTCTAAAAGTACTCTCATAGGTCTTATCCAGTACAGTTCTAAACTGTACCTGTGCAAATGATTTATGACTGTCACGTCCTCGCAGCACAATAAACGGTGTTGTAAATCATACTACACACTAATCTATTGCGGTCATCAATCGTCCATCTGTTAGACGACCTCGATTAGGGATACTTTTTGATTTAATATTCAATGTTCACTTAACAGGTGTTTCTTTATCCAAGACATGGTTTTGATACCCTATTTTGAATATTTCCTTAAATCGAATAGACTCATTATTTAATTCTAAACCACAATTAAATAGTAATGCAGTGAATGACAATTTTGCACAAAAATTAATTACTCCATTAATGAATGGTTTTAATACAGTGTCTTACATTAAATCAACCTTGTTTAATTAAAACACTTGTACAGGGAATATCAAAGCCAGTCTCCAACATGCTTGATTCGCATTGCCTCAACGTGTTTGTTGTGTTTCACTTGAGGCAAAGGTTAAGTTAAAGGATCGGCCAAATTATCATCCGTGCCGATCTTACAAATTCTGATTTCACCTTCGGATTTCCATTCCCTTATCATGTGAAATCGCCTTTGCACGTGTTTAACCTTCTAGTGTTCTCTCGGCTCTCTAGCCTGAGCGATAGCTCCATTATTATCACAATAAAGGTCTATCGGTCCCTTGATTGAGGGTACAACACCAAGTTCAATGATGAACTTGCGAATAGCACACACATGGTGCACCTAGGCTTGCGACGAGCTAGCCTAGCCTAGCTACGGCTATGCTCATACTTGTTGCTTGTGATTTTGCGACGCTCGGTCTCGACGCCCTAGGCTCGATTTCCGACGTCTGTATTCGTAAAACTCTATCGACTCATTAAATCCTTTTGGATTAATTCGTCATCTCGGATTGGTGATTCGATTGGGTTCGACCCGAAGGGTTCAGTTAAGAAAAAGCTGTAATATCAATTGTACCTCGATATTACTGATCGGAAGCGGCCTCCACCTAGGCATTCCGATCACTTGAACTTACTGAAGAATTAGCTCTGTAATAATTCTGAACCCTCTATCGGAAGAATACACTTGTTGGAAGGACACCATTCCTTTCAATCTCCCACTTGTCCTTCCGGACAAGTGTGCATACAGTGTATAGCTTATTTCCTATGTCACTTAATGTTTCTTCGTGAACTATAAGGTAAGATTCTTTGTCATCCTTATTACGTTTAGAAGTGTTTCTCGATCTCCGAGTTCAATTGTCAATAAGCAGATGATTTCTAAAATCCATCTGAGCACGACCATGCATTTTCACTGTCTCGCTCTTCGAGCGGCCTTGTAAACAACAAAACATTTTCCCTATTGTCAGTAGGGGGACAATCCCAGTCTTGTATTGTAAGTTCTTCTTACTAAGAGGACATAGTCTCCCGAGTGTTCCCGTTATGATCCCCAGTTACAGCAGACGTTTGGAAACATCAAAGAGTCTAGTACTCAAACAATAAAACTTCACAGTACTCATGGTCGGAGGAAACAAGTTCCGATAGTCATAATGAGAAATGTACTTATGACAAAATTTAAATTTTTCTTAAAGTACTCTCATAGGTCTTATCCAGTACAGTTCCAAATTGTACCTGTGCAAATGATTTATGACCATCATGTCATCGTAGCTCAAGAAACGATGTTGTAAATCATACTACACACTAATCTATTGCGGTTATCAATTCTCCATCTGTTAGATGACCTCGATTAGGGACAATTTTCGATTTAATATTCAATGTTCACTTAACAGGTGTTTCTTTATGCAAGACATGGTTTTGATACCGTGTTTTGAATATTTCCATAAATCGAATGGACTCATTATTTAATTCTAAACCACAATTAAATAGTAATGGAGTGAATGATAATTTTGCACAAAATTAATTACTCCATTAATGAATGGTTTTAATGCAGTGTCTTACATTAAATCAACCCGTTTAATTAAAACACATGTACAAGGAATTTTCAAATCCAGTCTCCTACGAGCTTGATTCCCATTTCCTCAACGTGTTTGTTGTGCTTCACTTGAGGCAAAGGTTTAGTCAAAGGATTGGCTACATTATCATCCGTGCCGATCTTACAAATTCTGATTTCACCTTCGGATTTCCATTCCCTTATCATGTGAAATCGCCTTTGCACGTGTTTAACTTTCTGGTGTTCTCTCGGCTCCCTGTCCTGAGCGATAGCTCCATTGTTATCACAATAGACGTCTATCGACCCCTTGATTTAGGGTACAACACCAAGCTCACTTATGAACTTCCGGATCCAAAGGTTGGCTGCTTCTGAAGCGGCCAAGTACTCGGCTTCTGTTGTAGAGTCTGCAGTGGTGCTCTACTTGGCACTCTTCTGTTTCAGTCTGGAAGCTAACATTTGTGTAACCTTTAACAACCAGTTCTTTGTGGCCTCCATACACCTGGAATTTATCCTTGTTCCTTTTTAGGTACTAAAGGATGTTCTTGGCCGCAGTCCAATGCGCCTCTCCTGGGTTTGATTGGTATCGACTCGTTGCACTCAGGGCATAAGATACATCTGGCCTTGTACATATCATGGCATACCTGATCGATCTGATTAGCGAAGCTTATGGGATCTGATTCATTCTTTCTCGCTCAACAGGTGTCTGTGGACACTGTTTCTTGCTGAGAGTTATGCCATGGGACATGGGTAAATGCCCTCTTTTGGCATTCTCCATGTTGAATCGAGCCAGTACCTTATCAATGTAAGTACTCTGGCTTAATCCAATCATCCTCTTAGATCTATCCCTGTAGATCTTGATGCCCAATATGTATTGTGCCTCTCCTAAGTCCTTCATTAAAAAGCACTTTCCTAACCAGCCCTTTACGGACTCCAACAATTTTATGCTATTTCCAATGAGCAGTATGTGATGTGTAAGCAAGGTGAGAAACTTGTTTACAAATGGTCTGGAATGTGTGTTGTGTTTAGTTTAATTTAGAAGTATCAATGTGGAGTAATTAAGAAGGTTTAGGGGAACTCTCACCCTTAACTTGAGGATATAACAGTGAGGAACACTCACTCACTTGTTTGGGCGTAGTAGTGATTAGGGAACTCTCACCTATTCGACAACTACCAGTTTAAGTTTTAGGAACTCTCACTAAAACACAAACTCTTCAAATTGAGGTAACTCTCAAATTTGGAAAATAAACCTAACTAGCACAAGCCAAATTTAGATCATACACTCGTGTGTTTTGGCAAATTTTTCTGAATTTCTTTTCATTGATCATTGGCAAGCTATTTATAGCTTAAGTTACATCCCAAAAATTGCCTTTACAACTTACCAAAATAACAAAACAAAAATAAAAGGTAAATTAATTGGCTCATAACCGTCCAAATTAATCCCCATTACAACTAATTATTTCTCTAATTAAGGGAGCTTAAAACAAGGGAAGAATAGCTTAAAATAAGGGAAGAATGACTCCTAAAACGTTCAGCAAATTGACTCCTAAATGCTGTCCAAATTCGTCCTCCAAAGTAGCCTTGAAATGCGCCTTTGTAACCTCCCAATTAAGCCTTCATTCAAGCTCCTTTATTACGAAATTAAACCAGCAAAACCCCGCTAATAATAACACTGAAATGTGAATAAAAACCAGCTTGAAACTCTCTTGAAGTATGCATTAAATCAGCCTAGATTCACGCCCAAAAATCCGCCCAACTTCCCTTCTTTCAAACGGATTGGAGTTGATGATTTTAAGGGGAATCAAACTAATTTAATTAATCCCATTACTGAGGTAATTAGTCACACTCAATACGGTGCAACCATTTGAGGAATTATATGGACTGTGCACGCTAAAATCCATAGGAGTAGCATCGAAGAAATACTTGGACAAAATCAATTCCCTAACGTTCGACTCTTGGACTGGAATATTTGAATCATTCGAACCTTGACCACTTTGGTCATCCTCCCCTTCTTCAAAGGGAATTGCCCTCAATTCTTCATCATTATAGTACGGTGCTAGATCCCCCACATTGAATGTGCTTGAGACACCGTACTTTCCTCCCAAATCTACCTTGTAGGCATTGTCATTGATCTTTTCCACTATCTCAAATGGACCCTCGGCTCGTGGCATGAGCTTGTTCTTCCTTTGATTGGGAAACCTTTCCTTCCTCATGTAAATACAAACTAAGTCACCAACTTCAAAGCTTCTCACGTTTTTGACTCTCTTGTTGGCTTGCTTCTTATAGATTTCATTAGCCTTCTCGATGTTCTTCCTCACTTCTTTGTGGATTTTGACCATGAACTCTGCTTGTTCCTTGGCATCTCCATGCACGAATTTTTTTTGAGGCAAAACTATGAGATCAATTGTAAAATAGGGATTAGAACCATAGACTACTTCAAAAGGAGAATACTTTGTAGTAGCACTAGGAGTTCTATTGTAAGCAAACTCGACATGAGCAAGCTTGACATCCCAATCTTTGGTGCTCTTACTAACCAAGGTCTTAAGAAAAGAACCTAGCACCCTATTCACCACCTCAGTTTGGCCATCGGTTTGGGGGTGAGAGGTAGAAAACAGCATTTTGGTTCCCATAAGACGCCACAAAGACTTCCAAAAATGACTTAGGAACTTTGTATCTTGATTTGAAACAATGGTGCGTGGGACTCCATGGAAACGAACAATCTCATCAAAATATAATTTCGCCACCATCATAGCATCCTCGGTTTTATGACAAGGGACAAAGTGAGCCATCTTTGAAAAGCGATCAACCACCACCATGATTGAGTCCTTACCTCTTTGAGTTCTAGGTAAAGCCACAATGAAATACATGCTTATGTCTTCCCAAGGTCTCTTCGGAATTGGCAATGGCTTGTAAAGACCCTTGTGAAACACCATCTTTGCCCTTTGACAATTAGAGCAACGAGCTAGAACATGGTGAACAGTAGATAGCATGTTAGGCCAATAAAAGTGAGCTTGAAGAAGCTCCATAGTCTTTTGAACTCCGAAATGGCCTGCTAGACCTCCTCCATGCGCCTCATGAATCAACAAGCTTCGAATTGGACATTTAGGAATGCATAACCTATTTCCCTTAAAAAGAAAATCATTTTGTAAGGAAAATAAATCATAAACTCCATTCACGCATTTCTCCAAAATGACCTTGAAATCATCATCTTCCTTGTAGTATTCTTTGATCAATTCGAACCCAAGGACTTTAGCCTCAACGACTCCAAGTAAAGTATGCCTTCGAGATAAGGCATCCGCAACAACATTCGCCTTTCCACTCTTGTACTTAGATGAAAAGTTAAATGTTTGCAAGAATTCCACCCACTTCGCTTGCCTCGAACTCAACTTCTTTTGGCCATGGATGAACCTCAAAGATTCATGGTCAGAATGAAGTATGAATGGTTGTGGCCTCAAGTAATGCGACCAATGATCCAAAGCTCGCACCATTGCATAGAACTCCTTGTCATAGGTGGAATAATTCAGCTTGCCTTGGCTCAATTTCTCACTAAAGTAGTCAATAGGACGCCCCTCCTGAATCAACACGGCACCAATCCTCTTTCCACTTGCATCACACTCAACTTCAAATGGTTTTGAAAAATCTGGAAGTGCTAGGATAGGTGTGTTGCACATTTTCTCTTTGATCACTTCAAACGCCTTTTGATCTTGAGGAGTCCACTCAAACGAGCCCTTCTTTGTGCACTCGGTGATAGGGGCCATGAGAGTGCTAAAATTGCGAATGAACCTCCTATAAAAGGAAGCTAATCCATGGAAAGATCGGACCTTCGTGAGTGTCTTTGGACTAGGCCATGATTGAATAGCCTAAATCTTGCTAGGATCAACTTTCACGCCTTCACCTGAAATAATGTAACCGAGAAAGTTACCTCATATAGCATAAAATTACATTTTTCAAGTTTTCCATACAATTTTTGTTCTCTCAAAACAGTGAAAACTTCAAACAAATGGACCAAATGCTCATCCCCATCTTTGCTATAGATAAGGATATCATCAAGGTACACCACCACGAGCTTGCCAAGGAAAGGCCGCAACACCTCGTTCATCAACCTCATGAAAGTGCTAGGTGCGTTGGTGAGTCCAAATGGCATCACGAGCCACTCATACAAACCGTGCTTGGTTTTGAACGCGGTCTTCCATTCATCTCCTTCTCTCATCCGAATTTGATGATAACCACTTCTCAAATCAACTTTTGAAAACACCTTCGAGCCACTCAGTTCGTCAAGCATGTCATCTAGCCTTGGAATTGGAAACCTGTACTTGATAGTAATATTGTTAACAGCCCTACTATCAATACACATACGCCATGTACCATCTTTTTTAGGAACCAAAAGAGCAGGAACAGCACACGGACTCATCGACTCACGCACATACCCCATACTCATCAACTCCTCTATTTAACGTTGCAATTCCTTAGTTTCCAAAGGATTACACCTATAGGCAGGTTTGTTAGGTAAAGGAGCACCGGGAATGAGGTCAATTTGATGTTCAATTCCCCTCAAAGGTGGCAACCCTTTAGGTAACTCATCAGGAAAAACATCCTCAAAATCCTTAATCAATTGAGCCAATTTGGGGTTTTGACTCACAAAATTTCCGTGGACCTCTTTAGAGTACAACAAGTATAATTCATCCTTACCATCAATTTCCCTTTCAAATTCCTTAAGGGTAAGCAATGACACCTTCTTTGATTGTTTAGGATTTTGTGACAACCGTGGGGGTGGTAAGGGGTGCAATTTTTTTTGTTTTCCTTGGTGAGTTATAGTGTAAGTGTTATGGTACCCATCATGTTGAGATTTTCGATCAGTTTGCCAAGGTATACCAAGCAAAATATGACAAGCATCCATAGACACAACATCACACAGTTGAGTATCATGATAAGACCCAATAGAAAAACTAATCATGCATTGTTTCCTAACCCTCGTACTAGAACTAGAGTCCAACCAACTCAACTTATAAGGATGTGGGTGATTTGTAGTTGTAAGACCAAGCCTAGTTACCAAGGTTTTGGAAACTGTGTTTGCCTCACTAGCACCATCAACAATTAAATCACATACCTCGCCTTTAATCTTGCACTTGGTGATGAAAATATGTTGCCTTTGTGGTGCTAAGGGTTCCTCAACGTGAGCTTGCAACGCCCTTCTCACAACCAGACTTGTTTTGGTCTCTTCTTCGGGGAAACATTGCTCTTCCTCCTCGTCCCCTTCAGTAGAATTCACGTCCTCCACTTCTTCAACCTCAAAATCCTCCCAATTGATAGTTTGGTTAGCAATAAGCTTTACCTCTTGCATGGTCAAAGATCTTGAATTTGGACAATCCTTCTTGAAATGACCCCTTCCTCCACACTTGTAACAAACAATGTCACTTATTTTGAAATCTTTCTTGTCCTTCTTAGGTGGATCGTTGGCTTTGACAAAAGAAGAACCATCCTTGATAGGATAGGTTGGTTTTCGTGCCACTTGAGGGGTGACAATCGGCTTCTTCTCCTTCCTTTTTGAATCAAACTTGATCACAAGTTTGCAAGCTTCAGCAAAGGTTAAATTGGTGTAACCTTCAAGTTTGTCTTGCAACTCTTGATCCAAACCAGCCACGAAACGTCCCATCTTGAGTTCTTCATTCTCCGTGACTTCACACACGATAGCAAGTCTGTCAAACTCCTTGATGTAGTCCTCAGCCGATTCTCCATTTTGTTGCAAAGTGCTCCATTTCACATATTGACTTTGCTTGTAATTGTGAGGAATAAAACGATCCCTCATCCTCTTCTTCAACTTGCTCCAAGTAGAAACGGCCGCCTTACCCTTAAGAGCACGCCCCCTTTGCTCTCCTTGAAACCAACTATCTCCATAGCCTTTCAACTTCACCTTGGCTATCTTGTATTTTTGGACCTCCTCTTGAATGTCCTTGAAGTCGAAGTACCTCTCCAAGGATTTCTCCCATTCCAAGTACTTTTCTGGGTCAAGTGTCCCATCAAAAGTAGGAAGGTCCACTTTGAGAATCCTATCTTCCCTCCTAGGTGGGGGGTCTTCGCCTTGATCTCTCCTATATTGTTCGTTCATGAGCCTTGCCATCAAGGCAGCAAGGTTCCCTTGTAGATTGGCGTAGGTATCGGCCAACCTCTCTTGACTAGCAATGGATCGATTAAGAGCTTCCAAAGCTGTCCTCAAGTCTTGATTCTCTCCCATGGTATGTAGGTATTCGACCCCTTTGGAAGAATTTAAGAAAACTCCCCCCTACCTGACGCGCCAAATGATGTGTAAGCAAGGTGAGAAACTTGTTTACAAATGGTCTGGAATGTGTGTTGTGTTTAGTTTAATTTAGAAGTACCAATGTGGAGTAATTAAGAAGGTTTAGGGGAACTCTCACCCTTAACTTGAGGATATAACAGTGAGGAACACTCACTCACTTGTTTGGGCGTAGTAGTGATTAGGGAACTCTCACCTATTCGACAACTACCAGTTTAAGTTTTAGGAACTCTCACTAAAACACAAACTCTTCAAATTGAGGTAACTCTCAAATTTGGAAAATAAACCTGACTAGCACAAGCCAAATTTAGATCATACACTCGTGTGTTTTGGCAAATTTTTCTGAATTTCTTTTCATTGATCATTGGCAAGCTATTTATAGCTTAAGTTACATCCCAAAAATTGCCTTTACAACTTACCAAAATAACAAAACAAAAATAAAAGGTAAATTAATTGGCTCATAACCGTCCAAATTAATCCCCATTACAACTAATTATTTCTCTAATTAAGGGAGCTTAAAACAAGGGAAGAATAGCTTAAAATAAGGGAAGAATGACTCCTAAAACGTTCAGCAAATTGACTCCAAAATGCTGTCCAAATTCGTCCTCCAAAGTAGCCTTGAAATGCGCCTTTGTAACCTCCCAATTAAGCCTTCATTCAAGCTCCTTTATTACGAAATTAAACCAGCAAAACCCCACTAATAATAACACTAAAATGTGAATAAAAACCAGCTTGAAACTCTCCTTGAAGTATGCATTAAATCAGCCTAGATTCACGCCCAAAAATCCGCCCAACTTCCCTTCTTTCAAACGGATTGGAGTTGATGATTTTAAGGGGAATCAAACTAATTTAATTCATCCCATTACTGAGGTAATTAGTCACACTCAATACGGTGCAACCATTTGAGGAATTATATGGACCGTGCACGCCAAAATCCATAGGAGTAGCATCGAAGAAAGACTTGGACAAAATCAATTCCCTAACGTTCGACCCTTGGACTGGAATATTTGAATCATTCGAACCTTGACCACTTTGGTCAGTATGTCATCGACATACAGGACTAGGAATGCAATATCACTCCCACTGACATTGTATACACAAGACTCATCTGGATTCTTGATAAAACCAAATTTGCTAATGGCTTCATCAAATTGCAAATTCCAACTTCTGTTGGCTTGCTTTAGTCCATAAATGGACTTCTTCAGCTTGCAAACCTTTCCAGCGTTGCCTGGATCGACAAAACCTTATGGCTGTGTCATATACACAGTTTTTTCCAAAATTCCATTAAGGAAGGCGGTTTTGACATCCATTTGCCATATTTTGTAATCGTAATATGCAGCAATCGCTAGGATCATCCGGAAGGATTTTAGCATTGCAACTGGTGAAAACGTTTCATCATAGTCAATCCCGTGGACTTGTCTATGACCTTTTTCCACCAGTCTAGCTTTGTATATTGATACATTTCAATCCTTGTCTGTCTTCACTTTGAAGATCCATTTGCAACCAATGGGTGTATAACCCTCGGGCAAATTCACCAAGTCCTAGACTTGATTTTCAGACATGGAGTCCATCTTGGAGTCCATTTTTCAGAGTCGGGGCTCGTCATAGCTTGCTTGTATATCGCCGGCTCATCACCATCCATGACTAAGATGTCCTGATCATCAGTGAAGACGATACCGAGGTATCTGTCTGGTTGAGATCTTTGTCGTTGCGACCTATGTAGGGTAATCGGTTGAGCATTTACATTGTCTGTTTGATTCTGACCAATCTTCTTAGATGCTTCCAAAGTATCTAGATTGTCAGTTTTGTCAGGTTGACATTGTTGCTCGTCCTCTCGAACTTCGTCAAGTTCGATTTTCCTCCCACTTGTCATTTTGGAAAGGTGGTCCTTCCCCAAAAAGACACCATCACGAGCAACAAATACTTTGTTCTCGGATTTATTGTAGAAGTAATACCCTCTCGAACTTCGTCGAGTTCGATTTTCCTCCCACTTGTCATTTTAGAAAGGTGGTCCTTCTCCAAAAAGACACCATCACGAGCAACAAATACTTTGTTCTCGGATTTATTGTAGAAGTAATACCCTTTGGTTTCTTTTGGATATTCCACAAAGAAACACTTATCCGATTTGGGGTGAAGTTTGTCCGAACTTAATCGCTTGACATATGCTTCGTATCCCCAAATCTTGAGAAAAGACAGCCTAGGAGGTTTCTTAGTCCATAATTAATATGGAGTCTTTTCAACAGCTTTTGACGGAGCTCTATTCAGTGTTAGTGCTGCAGTTTGTAGCGCATGTCCTCAGAAAGAGATAGGGAGTTCACAAAGACCCATCATTGATCGAACCATGTCTAACAAAGTTCGATTCCTCTGTTCGGACACTCCGTTCCATTGAGGAGTTCCGGGAGGTGTCAACTCTGAAAGAATGCCATTTTCTTTCAAGTGATCGTCGAATTCATGGCTCAAATATTC